GGTTACCCGATCCAAGGCTGGCATCTTCTGTCCTAAACAAATCCTCAACCTTAACACTATGGCCACAATCTCCCCCATACCCCCTACCTACCGTAGTGCTCTTAAAGACCCTAACTGGTACAATGCTATGCTAGATGAATATAATGCTTTGATAGATAATCATACATGGGATTTAGTACCCCCCTCCCCCGACCAAAACATTATCTCCGGAAAATGGCTTTTTCGCCACAAACTTGGCCCTACAGGTGAACTGTCCAGGTACAAAGCTCGATGGGTTGTCCGCGGATTCACTCAACGTCATGGCATCGACTACGACGAGACCTTCAGCCCGGTTGTCAAACCTGCCACTATACGCATCGTCTTGAGCCTTGCTGTGTCCAGAGGATGGCCGATTCATCAGTTTGATGTCAAGAATGCCTTTCTGCAAGGGTACCTCACTGACACTGTTTACACTGCTCAGCCTTCAGGATTTCAGGACCCTGCTCGCCCACATTATGTATGCAAATTAAATAAGGCACTATACGGACTCAAACAGGCACCCAGGTCTTGGTACCAGCGATTCACAGGCTTCGTCCTCTCTCTTGGTTTTAGCGGATGTAAGAGCGACACCTCCTTGTTTGTCTTCAGTCGCGGCCAGGACATGGCTCTACTTCTCCTTTATGTTGATGACATTGTCCTTACAGCATCATCCACTGCCCTTCTTCAGCAGCTCACAGGACGACTGAAAGGGGAGTTTGCTATGACAGACATGGGTGACCTCCACTTCTTTCTTGGGATCAATGTCCAGCGGACCTCTCACGGCCTGTTCCTCACTCAGACTCAGTTCATCTATGACATCCTTGAACGGGCCGGTATGACCACGTGCAAGCCGGTTTTTACACCCGTGGACACCCGCGGGAAACTCTCGGCCACCACCGGCGATCCAGCACCAGATCCCTCTCTCTATCGGTCTATTGTGGGAGCCTAGCAGTACCTCACTTTCACACGCCCGGATATTACCTACGTCGTCCAGCAGCTATGCCTCTTTCTTCATGATCCTCGTGCCCCACACGTTACAGCAATGAAGCGCGTTCTGCGCTACCTACACGGCACACCCACCCATGGCATCACCATCTCACCTTCTCATACAGATCAGATGCGGGCATATTCAGATGCAGATTGGGCTGGTTGCCCAGATACTCGCCGATCGACGTCTGGTTACTGCATATTTCTTGGCGACAATCTCATCTCTTGGTCCTCTAAGCGCCAGCTCACCACCTCTCGGTCCAGTGCAGAGGCAGAATATCGAGCCGTTGCAAATGCTGTCGCTGAAGTCAGTTGGGTATGCAATCTTCTACTGGAGCTCCGGCAACCTCTGAGTCGCTCTACACTAGTCTTCTGTGATAACATCAGTGCCGTGTATCTATCTGCCAATCCCGTCAAGCATCAACGCACGAAGCATATTGAGGTTGACATTCACTTTGTGCGCGACAGAGTAGCCCTTGGTCAGATAAGAGTCCTTCACGAACCTTCTTCCCTACAGTATGCCGACATATTCACCAAGGGACTTCCCTCTATTGTCTTCACTGAGTTTCGGGATTGCTTGGGCGTGCGGCGATCTTCATTAGTGCCGTTGGGAGCATGTTAAATATGTTAATATTATATTTAATATTATTGTATATTGGTAGCTACCATAATTGTATAGGGTGGATTAATTATAGTTTCCTATTGTCATTAGGAAACTCTTGTATATAAACACATGTAATCTCCCATAATATTCTATTGGAAAATATTCATTCTACACTCATGCTTCAAACTTGGTCACTTAATGCAGAATTGTCCACACCGAGCTGTTGCCGGCGGGGAAGTCCACAACGCCGGCAAGGAAAAGGTGGCACAGTTTGGAGAAGGAGATGCTGGTTGGACTGTGGTCCAAAGTAGGGGTGAGCACGTACCGAACCGATACCGAAATTTCCCAAAAAACCCGAGATTACCGAACCGAAAAATACCGAACCGATAAAATACCGAAAAAGAATCGTACCATACCGAACCGAATGATCGGTCCGATATTTGGGATCGGTACGAGGTAACTTCTCATACCGAAAAATCCCGAACCGAATATATATACAAATACGTTCTAAAAATAACAATGTTTCTATATTTCTTCATTGAAAAATAAATTGATTTTGAAAAGTTGGTTCAAGTGTAGATGAATTACAAATAATCTTTTATTTATATAATCATTTAATTGATTTTATTTTTTGTAGATTTATATAACAAAATTTAACCAATATTTGAAATATTATTTTATTATCATTCATTCTCTTTTTTTGTAAAATATGAAGTATAAATTAAACTAAGTTTTATAAGTATTTTTGCATTTAATTATTCATTTCCCAATTGTTTATCTTACTTTAATTTGAATGCACTTTCGATTTTTTTTAAATAAAAAGTTTTGTACATTCCAAAGTATAAACTAGGTAAGTATATATTCGTCCCAATATTTACCGAAACCGAACCATCCCAAACTATACTGAACCGAAATTTCGGGATCGGGATCGGTACGATGTAAAATCCCATACCAAACCGATATATTTAGTACAGTAACGGTACAGACTAAATACCGTACCACGCTCACCCCTAGTCCGAAGGAAAAAACCCAAACACCAAATGCCAAGGAGTAAACCGTCTCACCTCTGGAAAGCTGTCCCCACTCCTCATTCTTCATGCCAAGCACTAAAATCCAATTGTACTCCCATCCCTCCATGTAATCCTCCTCTTCAGCCTTCCACCTCGTCTGTTGTCCCACTTCCCACTTCCACCCATTATTTTAGATAGTGGGGGTTTAGCTGTCATTAACCAGGTTGCCTCCATCCCCCCCCCTCCAGTCACCCTCCCCCACTTCCATCACCTCTCCCACCAATCTTATTGATTTTGACCCTACCCCGCCATCTTCACCAAGCAAGAAGAGTGGTAGTAAAGATGATTCCATGACAAACATTCTTTCCCAGGATCCAACTTTTACCATCCTTAACACTCTTGGGCTCCAACACCTTTACCCCTCGGACTTCTCTGAAGAGGCATTGAGGGAGGTTCACTGCCACTCTGAAGGGGAGTATGAGCCTTTCAACAAGGAGAAGCTGCAACCCCTCCATCTTAACATTGAGAAGTATGCCTCTAAAGGGGTTGGAGCCCCAAGGGGGCCTAGGAAGAAGAGGAACTACCCTCCAAGTAATATCCTCACCCGAAGCCAGAGAATTGGCGTTGGCGTTTCTCCTCTTGTTTATAAATGAAGCTGTTATTCTGGAACATTCGTGGGATTACCTCCTCCCTTCACAGGCTTAAATCCCTTATCAAAACCCACTCTGTCCCCTTTCTTTATGTCCTTGAATCGTTGGTTAATTGTAATAAACTTCAGTTCTATATGCTCTCTCTAGGTTTCTCCCATTGCTTGGCTAACCCTAATAACAAGATCTGGATTTTCTGGCGTGATGATATCCTTCACCTCCTTGGTCACTCCAGTAACTCCCAATCCACCTCGTGCAGAGTACTTCATAAGGAATTCAATAAAATCTTTAACATCACGGCTGTTTATGGAAAACACTCTATCCTTGAGCGTCAAGAGCTGTGGCATTCCCTTTCAGAATCTCGTCCTTCAAATGAGGCTTGGCTAGTAGGGGGGACTTCAATGCTATCCTTTCCCTTGATGAACACAAAGGCAACTCCTCTCCATCCCTTAAAAGTATGGAAGACTTTCAAGAATGTCTTTCCAGTAATTCCCTCACGAGCATCCAACCTGTTAAGGGCTGGTTCACTTGGAGTGGGAATAGAGGGCAAGGGCGGCTTTGGAGAAGGCTGGACAGGGTGCTGGCTAACATTGATTGCCTTAATTTTTTTTGCAGGTCTTAAATGCTTCCACCTTTGTAAGGCACGATCAGATCATAACCCCTTGTTGCTGGAATGTATTCTGGACACTCCAAGTTCCCCTAAAGGTTTCAAAGTCCTAAATGTTTGGTTCTCAAACCCCTCATTTCTCACAGCTATTTCTCAATCTTGGAACTCTACTGGTACATGTGGAGGTATGAGAGGCTTCAGCAACAAGCTGAAGGAGCTCAAATCAGCTATTCGAAAGTGGAACAAGGATACCTTTGGTGACATTTTTCAAAACCTTAAAAAAGCAGAGGAGGAAGCAATCACTGCTGAACTCTCTTATGATTCCAACCCTATTGAGTCCAATAGGGAAGCCTGGTCACAAGCTATGGCTAACCTCCTGCTGGCAACTAAAAAAGAGACAGATTTCTGGAAGCAGAAGGCACAAGTAAGGTGGATGGAAAAAGGTGATAGCAACTCCAAATTTTTCCATTCCTTTGTAAAGGGCAGGAGGGCGAAACTCACTATATCCCAAATCAAAACCAGATTAGGCCATACGCTGAAGGACGCTCCAAGCATTAAGGCTGAAGCTGTGAGTTTTTTCTCTCAAACCTTCTCCCACGCCAACATTAATGATCCTCAGGAGATATTAAAGTTTCTCCCCCAAGTAATTAGTGAGGAAGATAATACCTTCATTACGCGCCTTCCCTCCATGGAAGAAGTAAAACATGCAGTTTGGGAACTTGACCCACACAGCACGTGTGGCCCGGATGGTTTTAATGGAGAGTTCTTTCGCAAGACCTGGCATATCTTGGGGAAGGACCTCCTCCTTGCCGCGCAGGAGTTCTTCCTGGGAATTCCCCCTCCTACTGCCTTTGGGGCTACCACCTTAGCCCTTGTTCCCAAAATCCCTAACCCCCAATGTTTCAATGATTTTTGGCCAATCTCCCTCTCCACTTTCATGAGTAAAGTCCTTAGCAAGCTCCTTGCAATCAGACTCAAATCCTTCCTTCCCAAACTCATCTCCATGGAGCAAGGGGCCTTTCAAGAAGGGAAGGATATAGCTGACCAGATTCTTATCACCGGAGAGCTCCATCATTCCCTTGACAGGAAAGTTAATGGGGGGAATATCATCATCAAGGTGGACATGGCTAAGGCATTTGATAGGCTCAGTTGGGAGTACCTTCAGGGTGTCCTTTCAGCCTTTGGTTTCTCCTCTCATGCTATCAAGATCCTCGTAGCAAATCTGAAGTCCACCCACTTCTCAATCCTCATCAATGGCGAACCCACTGGATTTTTCAAAATGGAAAGGGGCATCAAACAAGGTGATCCTCTTTCACCAATTTTATACATCCTGGGGGTAGAAGGTCTAAGCCGATCACTTAACCACCATGTTAACTCCGGCTTCATCACACCCTTCAATGCAGGCAGATGTCCCAAGATTAACCACTTAGCCTTTGCTGATGACTTGATCCTTTTTACCAATGGGCACTTCAGAAATCTCCTAAGAATCAAAGGTATCCTTGAATCCTACCTTGCAGCCTCGAGTCAAGCAATAAATTTTGATAAGAGCAAATTCTACAGCCCTACCAGGACACCTTCAGCGTCACTTTGTGCAATGGAAAGGGCCTTGAATATGAAGCCAGGACCCAAACCCTTTACTTACCTTGGGGCACCCATTTGTAGAGGAAAGTTGAAAAAGGAACATTGTAGTCCCCTGATTAATCACTTTGACAAATTCATTTCTTCCTGGTACAGCAAAGCCCTCAACCCCATCGGTAGGCTTATCCTCATTAAACATGTTTTGTCTTCCATTCCTTTACACTTAATGGCTGTTCACTCTCTCCCCCTTGAGGTGATCAAACTTCTCCACAAAAAGATGGCCAGCTTCCTCTAAGGAGTCAAAGAAGGCATACAAAAACACCATTGGATCAAATGGGACAAGGTTTGCCTTCCTACAGACCAAGGCGGGTTGGGGATTAGGGGTCTTCACAATATCCAGCAAGCTTACTCCCTTAAGTTGTGGTGGAAAATCCAACACGATGACAGCCTATGGACTAAGCTAATGAGAGCCAAATACTCTACTCACCCCAATACCATCAAAGAGAAAATCACAGACTCTCCGGTCTGGAAAAGGATTGCACAGATTCATCCACATGCTTTAGGAATCCAAGTCACTGGATCTGCTATCATGAACTTGGGCCAGCTCTCTATCAAAAGTGCCTACTCTACCTTCATCCAACCCTCCCCCTTACCTCTCTCATGCAAGTTCATCTGGCACAAGCTTCATGTAACATTCGCCTTCCGTGGACCCGGTTCACCCGCGACCCAACAGACCGGTAGGGTTACATGGACAGTCCGAGAACCATCCGTTACGAAAACATCAATGATTATTTAATAAGAAAACGGTTGGGTTTTAATTAGAGGAATAAATGCCAGGGAGTTACTCCCAAAACGTGTGTAATGAAAGTGCAGAGTTCTAGCGGAAGTAATTAAATAAATTCAGTCCAAACTAAATAACGACAAGGGTGGGTTCACGCCCAATTGATTAATGAAGTTATTGAAAGTAATTAAGAGTTCGTCCGTGCGCCGCCCATCTCCCCATCGTCACCGCTCTCCAGGGTTGGCACCTGCTCCGTCATGTCTACCTGCGTGCAGCAAAAACAACTACACGCTCAGCAAAAGCTGAGGAGTGAATCTAACAAAAGAACATGAAGTGATAACCCATATGGCTATACCCATATCAATACCTGTACTTAACGTACGGGACACCACACGTTACTAACTGTTTAGTTTTCACCTGTTAAAGCTGTTTCGAATAACAAGGAACATAATGATGATGATATGACTTGGTGCATGACTTAAACTATCAGGGACACCCCTGCCTTAGTCTCACTCGACAGGATCACCCCTGCACTCCGGTCATCGTTCCCGAACGGTAACGAGCCGGGCACGACGAAAACATCGCGAGTGGACTAGCGGAACCGGGTAGTAGCCGTAACCTGACTACTATGTACGTACACAAGCCCAACATGATGAAAACCCGCTGGTCCCCAAAGGTTCCTGGACGGGCCCACTGTAGTAGGCGCTTGAAGTCCTCCCTACAACGGTATGCATATGATGGAGACCTAGAACATCCGTCTAGAACGAACATGATGGAATGAATGCATTGATTAAAGAAAAGAGTTAAATTCAATTCTTACATATGTGTTTGATTACGGTTTATTCAACATGATGGCCCTGGGTTCAGAAAACTGGCTGATAATCGATTATCTGCTGTTGATAATCGATTATCATGCTGTGCAGCTTCTGTCCCCAAAGTCCTGCAGACTGTGATAATCGATTGTCACCCTATGACAATCAATTGTCCAGTTGGTTTATCAGGAAAGTCCTAAGTTCAGAGAGACCTGATAATCGACTACTGCTCTGTGATAATCGATTGTCAAGTGGACCAGCTCTGACTCAAGAATCCGCAAGGTCTGATAATCGATTACCACTTATGTGATAATCGATTGTCACACTATGCTGGATCAAAAGAGGAGTTCAGCGTGACCTGATAGTCGATTACTCCGTTCTGTAAATCGATTATCAAGGCACGCTGATTCCCATTTTGACTATTTGGTTATCATCAATACGTTGGGAATTTTCTTTGAAACGAACGTTTATGATTACATGTTAAGTATTCCATGAATATACGGAGTTTCAAAATGCTTGTATTAACGAGTTCGTAACTTGATAACACGGACTCTCGTATGTTTGATTGTTAACCTACGAACATGCATAGATTCTACGTAGGTTGCGTACGATATTCCTATGAATATAAAGACATAGATTATAACTAAATGTTCTAGAATTAGAGAAACAAATACTCACTCTAAATGGAGGGATTGATGGAACGAGGCGAACGAATGGTGCTAATGAACGTACAACCGACGATACGCTTCGCACGAACGGCCTAGCTCTTCTTCTCCTTCAACCTTGCACGCACCGGAGCTTCACCGGAGATTCCTGGGCTGCTGCTTATCTTGGCCGAAAATGAGAGAGGGAGAGAAGATGAATGGTGATGATGGAGTTGATGATTGAATTCACAATGGGGGGTTACCAAAAGGGAATAATAAGAGTGATGTTTTATGGTGATTTAAGAAGATATTAAATGGGAATGATGGGGATAGTGAGGGGGTCGAACCAAAGGCATGGGGGGTTACAAATATATTTTCACCCCGTTATGTAAAAATCTGACCTGAACGGTACGCGCTTTTTCCCCCAAGCGGGTCCGAATTGAACTCCGTTTTAGTTTCTGGAATCAGACAGTCAAGACGAATTTAATGATATGATCAAATAATTTTCCTAAGAACTTTTCATTTCCCAACCCCGGTCCGGAACAGTAATTAATTAATTAAATTAATCAATTCTATTAGACCGGGTTGCAGGGCGTTACACTTCACCTCCCTAATCTGAAGCTGTTCATGTGGAAAATCTTTCACCATGCGCTCCCTTTCACGCCAAGTCTGAGGAAACTTGGCTTCCAATGTTGTGGGAGATGTACTCTTTGCAATAGCGATGAAGACTCTGTTGACCACACTCTTCTTCACTGCCCAGTCTCCCTCCATCTTTGGAACCTTTTTGGTAACAGGTTTGGAGGTCCCCTTCCACGGCTAGGTACAAGCATCACGCAGCATTGCATGGCACGGTGGATTGGTACTAGGGGTAAGTCCTTCCAATCCCATCTTCGTATCGTGGTACCAGGATTTATAACATGGACACTCTGGAAATCCCATAACCAATGCCTTTATGAATCCTCCACTCCTTCCCTCCATGCTATGGATAAGATGATTTGTAATCTAGTCCAGAATTGGTGCTGGACCCACAGGAATAAGAAATGGATGAAAAAGACTACTGATCAAACACATGTGGGCAAGGGTTATTTTTGGCTTAGTGGGAAGAGACTTACGGAAGGTCTTGTTTGATTTTGGCTTTTGTTTTCCTTTTTTTTGTTTATGCTGTTGGGGAACACATCTCCAGACGCGTTGTAATTCTCTCCCTTTGTTTATCTTGAATAAATGCA